TAGTGTCATTAATCATATCATATTGTGTTATATTTTTAAGAAACATCTTAGATAGTTGTATTTTGGTAGGACTAAAGAAATATTTGAAGTACAAGTAAATTATATGTTTGTATGAATACTTTACTGGAAAAACCCGAAACAACCCGAAAAACCCAAAAAAATCCAAAAAAACCCGAGTTTTATTGGTTTGGTTTGGTTTATAAAATTAAAAATCCGACACAAATGGTTTGGTTTGATATTTGAAAAATCCGAACCAACCCGGTCATGTACACCCCTACCTCCGGTCATGTTGTATATACTTTTTTGTTTTTATTTTATGGGACATTGTTTGACTTAGTACGATGTTTTACAAATTTTGCTAATTGGATATTAGCTTATTTCACTTGCATAATCTATAGTAATAGGTGACTGTTAAATGTCGGCTAATATATACCAAATTTTTGATGATTTATTTTAGATAGATTCCAAGTCTTAAATATGATAACTACATTTCATGGAAAAATGACATTTCTCACATGCTTATGTTTGTGAAGAAAGACTGTAATTATTTCGTAAAGGTGGAGGAACTTGAGGGTAGTTTGAAGGATTTTGGCGAGTAGGTGCTGGCGTTTGTCAAGGCCCCGCACCTAGAGACTGGGAGAAATGTTGTGGTAAAAGTTGGAGGTAGGAGCAAACTATGTTAACACTACAAATGACGAAAGTTTCACTCAACTGATCCTTGTGTACACAGTAACAGGTTTTCGATGATGCCAAAATGGGGAACACTCATACTAATTATTTATAATCAATAAAACTAACCTGGTTCATCTAAGTGGTTCATTCCTGTGTCATCTGTTGCGTGTACTAAATGGAATAGGTTAAGCACAAAACATAAGTTTGTCATTATCAAAAAGGGGGAATTTATTGGACTTAATGAGATTCGATGATAGACAAGATGAATTGGGCAAATTCAATGGGATGTACAAATTGGAGAAGGACTAATGAAGAAAGATGTATTCTTATCTTTAGTTGCACATAACTAGTGATACTGGATCTTAGCTTGAGGTTGTTAAAACAATGTCACTATATTACTGACATTTTGTTTATGCCATTGTTCTCTTATTGGGTTATGATTCGCTTGATGTAGGACTAGTTAGGTGTCATCACGACTTAGGAAAATTAGGTCTTAACCGTGACAGTTCTCAGTTTACATCTTTTATCTCTTGACTTGTTAAAACACATTCAAAGGAAAACAAGAAAGAAGAGATCAATGACATTTGGAATATACATATTCAATTAGGTATATTGTAGATTAGCAGGGGAAGCACACAACAATTACAAAATCATATACTAGAAACTTTCAATTTATATAAACCATTCCGTTCCATTCCGTTGATGATGCTGTAGTGTCCATTGCAGCTATAAGCATGTCCTGTATACAAAAGGAAACAGGGGAATCAATTTATATAAACCATTTCATTCTCAAGGCTTGAGGTATATATTGAGCTTATAAATACTAGTAATATATAAGAATGAGATGAAAGTACATACAAAGAGGATAGCTTTTATGTGACGACGATCAAACTGAAATTTTGCTTCTCCAGATTGCATTATGTCCATCATGGTGTCCACAAAGTCCTTGTTTTGCTTATGTTCATGAGGGTTAACGTGTTCATCAATAATCTTCTCAAGGAACTCATCAAACACCTTTGAAAGATCCTTGAGCTTGCGAGTGATACCTTGGAGATCAATAGCACCAAGGAAGGGGAAAAAATCACCAAGATTTGGTGTTGCTGATAAATGCACAACATCTTGAACAATAGCTTTGAATCCCCTTTTGTCCAAGTCCTCATCCATGTACTTCTTTCCAAACACCATTAAGCAAGTCAAGTTAGCATTCAAGGACGTAATTTGCACTAAGATCAACAACTACACGATCACGAGCTTCCTTTTTAAGCGACTGAATAAGAAGTTCAACTTGTTGTTTTCTCATGGATTGAAATGAATGGATCTTTTGATTGCTCAAAAGGTGCACTGTGCACAATTTTCGTATGTTGCGCCAATTGTCACCATACTTTGCAAATACCAAATTTTTTTGGCCATAAGCCAAATGTTGAGATGCCTCATGATGAGGCCTATTAGCAAAAATGTGATCATATGTCTTGAGGACCTTCTCGGCTGCATCAACGGACGAGGCAACGATTGTAGGTACTAGCCCCAGTTGCACATACATAATAGGACCATGTTCTTGGCTAGTTTTTGTAAATCTTTGTGTGGATTTTTGCCTAACAAATGAAGATGTCCTAAAATGGGAAGCCCTGTTGGACCTGGAGGATACCTTTTTCTCTTCTGAATGTTTAACAGCTCATACAAGGCATATACAGATAGAGCAACCACTAGAATTGCCCATATCAAAAGTCATTGAGTAAGAAGAGAAAAATCCAATCTTAGTTTAATCTCTTATGAGGAATGTGATATATAACATCTCCTCTATATTATACCAAACACGTAGAGATTGTTTGGTAAGCGAGATAAAGATAGAATATCTCATGAGTAAGTTTAGAATAAAATTTATTCTAGACTTAATTAATTGTGGAATATAACCTCATGACTATAATTTCAGGATAATTTAATCCACATACCCAACCACTCCTAAATATCTTAGCATTTCACAAACAAGTCAATGTCAAAGTAGTCTTTAAAGTCCACGCCCACTTGCTTCATTCGTTCATTTCAATCATTTATGTGGCGAAAGCTATTTGACCAGAATCATCTCCCATTGAACAATATATTATTATGGGGTGTGATATAGTGGTGGGATTGATTTATCATTAATTAATTTGGGTTTGAGTCTTAGGTATGGATAAAATCTTATAGGGAGTGTCACCCCCCAAATGGGCTCTGCAATACACGATTTGGATTTAGTCGAGAATTCAATGTGGGCTTTGAACACCGAGTGAAAAAAAAAATATTATTATTTTATAGGGAATTTTTTTTTAAATGTCAATATTTTAGTATTTAACAGGATCATTTAGCCACACTTTCAATATTTATTAAAAATGTCATTGTTTTAGTTTGTTATGTATCTGATTTATGTTTTTTTAATTTGATTTAATTGAAATAATACAATTATTTAATAAAAAAATTAGGAAGAAATTTAGGGGAGAGAATATTTTAAAAAAGGAATTTATCACTAAAAATTCTTATCAGTTACAAATTCAAAAATAAATGATAGAGCACCCATCCCCCTTCTTCATCAAATTCTCCACTATCGATTTTTAAATTTTCATTGATGATACTCAATCTCTGTTGAAGTGAATTCGATCAAATTCTAATTTTCTGTTTGGGAAAAAAAATTTGGAATACAAATCAGTTTAGAATACAACTTTTGTTTAAATCAAAAGTTAAAAATAAAAGTGAATAATGAATTTGATGAACAATTAAGAAGCAACTTTAGAATACAATTTTTGAAATACAAAATTCAGTTTAGAATACAATTTTTTTTTGTTCAAAAATTGAAAATGAAACCACATGAGTACAAATAATTGATATACAACATACAAAGTACATTTATTTTGAATACAAATATACTCCCTCATTTCATAAATTAAGAATGACCTGGTTTGACTTGGCACGAAGTTTAAGTAAATAAAGAAGACTTTTGAATCTTGTGGTCCTAAATTAAAGTTATGTCAAATGTACAAAATCGCCCTTAATCTTGTGGTCTTAAACATGCCACGTGGAAAACAAAAAATAAAATGTTACCAAAAAAGGAAAAATGTCATTCTTTTTGAAACTGACTAAAAATGAAAGGAAACCATTCTTTGTGAAACGAAGGGAGTAGTTGATAACTGAACTTGAACATAACATACAAAATGAATTATTTGAATGCATATGGATACAATATGCTTCAATAAATACAATGTTGCAGAAAAATACAACATACTTATTAGTATGAATACAAATTTAAGTAAGAATATATATCATTTAATTTGCTTATAATTTCATTCAAATAAATATAATTGACATATGAAATATACAACTGACAATACTAATATGAACACAAATTAAATAGTAGTGACGTTAATAAAAATACAGACACAAAAGAAAATTTACTAAATAAACGATTTTTAAATTGATACACAAAAATAAATAAAAGACCCAAAATATACTAATCAAAACTAAAAATGTTGATATTAACTTCATAAATACAAACCCAATAAAAAGTTATTTGATCAAATGATAATCTGATGTTTTGTATAATAAATACAAACCCAATTTTTTTTCATTTTGAAAAGTAAAAAAGAAAAAAGAAGGGATCCGGAAAGAGAGAAGCGGGAAAAAAAATGAATAGAGAGAGAAAATAGGGTTGAAGGGGAGTGAAAATAGGATGTATATTAGGAGGATAATTATAAACATAAAATTTGCTATATATGAGAGAGATAGAAATAAAATTGAAAAAATATGAGAGAGAAGCTGAAACATGGACTATAATTTGAGATAAATTAGGAACTAACTTAGGAGTTAGAATACACTTTATTTGTAAAATATTGACATTTTAAATAATTATTTTAAAGTGTAAATATTTTTGATAATTATGTTAGAAATTTTGACTAGTTAGCTAATTTATATTAGAGCAACTTTCACATATAGCAAACACAAAATTCATATTTGTATGTTATAGCAAAGTTTGCATAATTGCGCTCCATAGCAAACATATATATGTATATTTCGCTATACATATACAAAAGAAAGCAGTTGTATAATCTGCTTTGGTATACATATACAAAAAGATCAATTGTATAAAGTGAGAGAGGCGAGTGAGAGAGCGAGATTTGGGAGAGTGGTGAGTGAGATCTGGGAGAGAGGAGAGAAGGGAACAAAAATATATGTATATATAAAAAAATTTCTCGCTTTATACAAACACAAACGCATTTTATACAATTTGTGTTTTTTGTATAAAGTGAGAGAGGCGAGTGAGAGAGCGAGATTTGGGAGAGTGGTGAGTGAGATCTGGGAGAGAGGAGAGAAGGGAACAAAAATATATGTATATATAAAAAAATTTCTCGCTTTATACAAACACAAACGCACTTTATACACTTGCGTTTGTATAAAAAACGAGAGAGGCGAGGGAGAGAACGAGAGTGGCGAGCGAGATTCACCAGGAGAGAGGTGAAATAGCAACAGTTTGCTATGAGGTACAATTAAATCAAACTATATTTATAGCATTTAATTTGAATTAATAGTTTGCTATTATATACAATTTTCCCTTTATATTATTTGGACACCGAAAATTCAATGCGGGCTTCGACAACCCCTTTAAAGAATCACTCACCCCTAAAAAGTAAGAAGTAATTTCACTAAATTATCCTTAATCAAATAGTATCAACTTTAATATGGATTTTTGGTTATGTAAAAATTGTAATAAAATAAGAAGATAATCAGTAACAATATAAAATAAGAAATGTAGAGAGCAAGAGAGAGCTGCCTCATTGATAGCTGTCTCATTATAATTCTTGTCAAAAAATACATAGTTGGATAAAATCTCAACTAAGGGAAAAAAAATACATGTGTATTATACACCCCTAATTAAAACATCACTTCATTCTTGTAGATGTTGTCTTCCAATCTTACCTACCATCTTTCCAAAACAATTGATATTGGCAATACTTTCTTTGTTATCATAGCATATGTCTTTTAGACAGGGCCGTCTCAACAAGTTTGGGGGCCTAAAGACAAACATTATAAAGAGGCCATCCCTGTTTTTTTAGTTGATATAACTATAAATTGAATAATTATAATACAGTAGTGTAATCCTACAAATGAGGTCTGGAGAGGCAGGATATATGGACATTATGAAGTAAGAATGCAAATAATGTAAATTTTCAATGAAAATTATATAATATAAAGTTGGAATAATAAAACATGACTCAAAATTTTAAAAATATGATGATATTAAAATAGTGTAGCGATGAATTTGATAAGTTAATAAATAATATTAAATAGTGTTGATTAGTTTTAGTGCTTGAAATTTTAATAAGACACCAAAACAAATTTGATCTTTTTATAAACTACACAACAATAGATATCACATAATGTAGAATGTTTGAACGTTTGAGAGACTTAAGAATATTCAATAATGAAAGAATAAAAAATAGTGAAAGGAGAATAAAGAAAAGTATAAGAACACAATAATGTTGGTTCATGATAATCGTCAAAATATAAATGAGCTAGACAACAAAATAAATAGCCACATGCGAAACTAGAAAGGATACTACAATTAACTAGACACATAAAAATCTAGAAAAGACACTACAATCAACTAAACAATATTCACTTTCTCAATTATATTTTCTATACAAAAAAATATTTTCAAATTTATCAATACATGAATATTTTTTAACAATATATATACATATATATATATATATACACACACATCTTTGAGAGAAAATGGGGGCCCCTACAAAATTGGGGCCCCAAGCGATTGCTTTAGTGGCCTTATGGTCGAGACGACCCTACTTTTAGATATTAAGTCCATAAAGCTCAACCAAATACTTTCTTGACTTCTTTGTTCATGATCTTATTGTCATAGACATATGGCTCATTCGACTTCTTTATAGTAAAAATGATAACAAAAATTGTATGTCTGGTAGAGTAACATGCTATGACAGTATTCTTAGACACAGACAAATAACTTTCTTGAGATCAAATTACATATAAATCAGATAACAATTTTGCACTTTCATAACCAATAAACCTTAATAATATTAGTTAACATCAATAAATTTATATTAGTATTTGATTCATTCTTATGTCCCCACAGATAAAAGTGAGGCTAAATTTTCTTTTGCACATGTCACGACCCAAAACGATTCTTGAGTAGCACCTACACTTAGCCTCCAAGGTGGGCAAACCAACAAATTCAAACCCCAACTTATATTAATTATTCAACTTACGAAATACAACCGTAATGCGGAAGTTCAAATCATATAAAAGTGAGAAGTGAAAATCTACTAGAGTCTATTAAATATCATTTCCAAATTCTGAAAGTCATCAATCAAGGACATATAATTCTAAAATACCAAGTCTAAAAGTATCAAAGATACAAGAATAAATAAGTAAGATAGTTTGTGTCCGAAAACTAAGGATATTATGCCATGATAGAGAGAATTCAACACGGCTAGATTGAATAACTCGCCCTGGAACTTGATGTGCTGGAGACTGGCTAGAGCTGAGGG